TTGACAGAGAGAGAGAGACAGCGAGAGAGGGAACACAAGCAGGGGGAGAGAGAGGAAGAAGCAGGCTTCCCGCTGAGCAGGGAGCCCAATGCGGGGCTCCATCCCAGGACCCTGGGATCATGACCTGAGCCGAAGGCAGACGCTTAACGACTGAGCCACCCAGGCGCCCCAAAATATATATATTTTAAAAGAAATTAAAAATAAATAAAAGATCCCCCAGTCTCCACCCTTCAAAATGTCCAAGCAGCAAGTCTGAATGACAGAAAACTGGGAGTGAAAAGGAACACTGACTGCACATAAACTTTGACATAACAAGGTGGTGTGACTTCCTCAAGTTCTCCAAAAGCAGGAAAGAGCTGACAGCCACCAGCTGTATTCGAAGAGTAATTATCACCAACTGCCAACCATTCCAGGCCCTATCTTTAAAGACTCAAAATTTCCCTCTATAACATTTTTTCTTATGTTTAGACAGAATCACCAAGTAGAGTCCATTTCTCCAGTGACTTCTTTGGTTATCTGCCAGCTTCCCAGAGGGTGGTCGCCTCCAAATACTCTTAAGCCAGACTGAGGGAGAAGAGGTTACATGGTGGGCTGCCTAGTGGTGGGCGATCAGCCTGGAAAATAGCAGATAATATATACTGAGGGTCTATAATGTGCCAAGCGCTGAACAAGCATTATCTCAATCTTCACAACAGCCCAATGAGGTAGGACAAGCATCACCCCATCCTACGGATGAGGACACGGTGGGATGATTTCAAGCCAAGGGTCGGGGGGTAGGGTGGGGGTGGGTGGGCTTGAACTAGGCTTCGTGGCTCCCAGGCCCACGCTCTCCTGACTCTTAAGCACCTGGCTGTCATTTTTCCTGCCCTGGGTCACATGAACTACTCTGTTTACCTGCTGGCTCCCCGGGTTTGAGAACTTTGGGGTGCAAGGTGGGCTATGCCCCTTTACGGACTCTACGCAAGGAAACGGAGCGCCTTGGGCAAGGCTTCGTCTCGATTCCCACAGCCGCCCTATGGGGCGGTCGTTCCATCACCCCAACTACAACTGACAAAGTGAGGACCCTAAGGAGCAAAGGGAATGAAGGGTCAGGCGGCGCACCTGGAGCCACGCACAAGGAACACGAAGGCCCCACATCACTGCGAAAGGGTCTCCTTCTCGCCCCAGCCGAATCACTTTACACGTGAACCCTACAGGTCGCGTACGCGTCCAGCCTTTAACTTAGGGCCACTCCACCCACACCAGACCGCTCAACAGCCGTTGCGCTCAGCGTACTCTCGGAAAACCGCAGAGAGGCGCCTTAGAAGGTCCCGGCCCGCCTCCGATTTAGTTGTCTTAACTTTTGCCTAAGAAACATGCGCCATCATAGTACCTATTTTTGCCATTTTCCCTCACCATCTGTTGATGGTGACTAGAGCTAGAGGCTTTTCAGGAAAAAGTCTCCAGAAGGCTGAGTGTTTTAAGGCACAGAAGGCATTCATTCGGGCAGCTAAGCTCTCAGGGGGCCCTTCACTTTTTCTCTTCGTTCGCTTCACACCACCGGCAGGAGCGGCTGCCAATGAGCTCCGCCGAGTCGCAGAGGGGGCAGGGCCAGCTCTTAAAGGAACCGCGACCTCTTAGCAGACCGTAGGGTGACCCGGATGATGGCGGCCGGAGCGGCCCTAGCCTTGGCACTATGGCTACTACTGCTGCCGGTGGGGGTTGGGGGGGCAGGGCCCCCACCGATCCAGGACGGCGAGTTCACGTTCCTGCTGCCTGCGGGGAGGAAGCAGTGTTTCTACCAGTCTGCGCCGGCCAACGCAAGCCTCGAGACCGAGTACCAGGTATAGGGTCCCGAGTCGGGGAGCAGACGAGCGAGCAGAGCCAGGGCGAGGGGGCGTGGCCAAGCAGCTGAAGCGAGGCATGGATTAAAGAGGGAGGGGGAGGAGCCGGTGCGTAAGAGCGCGGGGGCGGAGCTAGGAAGAGCGAGCCGGAGCTGGTGGAGAAGGTGCGTGGGAGCGGAGGGTATGGGAATAATGGCAGGAGGCGGGGTTAGAGTGAGACCGCCGGGGGGCGGGGCCATCGGTTATAAGAGAGCGCCCCTCACAGGGCAGGAACCTCACGAGTGGGCGTGGCCAAAGGTTGGCTTCGCTGACTGGGGGAGTTGGTGGGCGTGACCAAGATGCGTCACTAAAAGGGCGAGGTCAACATGAGGATGTCTCCGGGGTTGGGTTAAGGAAAGCGGGGCCCTGTCTCCTTACTTGGGGTATGGCCAGGTAAACGTCGATCAAGGACTTACGACGGGGGCGTGACCAGATGAAAGAGCCAAACCCAGAGCTGTCCTATCAAGGAAGACTGAGCCAAGGCAAGGGGCGCGGTCAGAGGGACAGGTGGGGCAGGACCAGGTTACAGGTGTAGGTGTCAGCGCTCAGGTAGGCCCCTGGTGGTCCTGGATGGGTCTGTGCGGGTTGGTCCAGCCCTGGCTTTCCCTGGCAGGTGCCCTTGGCCTACCCCTAGCCCTCCACCCTCTTACCTGTCCCCCCAGGTGATCGGAGGTGCTGGACTGGACGTGGATTTCACGCTGGAGAGCCCTCAGGGCGTGCTGCTGGTCAGTGAGTCCCGCAAGGCAGATGGGGTGCACACGTGAGTTAAGTCCCACTGTCTGCCTGGGTTTAGTTTCAGCCCTGCCCCTCCCCAGTGGCCTCAGGTTACCACCTTCCCTGCCTCTCAAAGTCTGGCTGGTGGGCCACTCTGGGTCATGTGTGTCTGTGTGTCTTTCTCCCAGGGTGGAGCCCACGGAAGCTGGGGACTACAAGCTGTGCTTTGACAACTCCTTCAGCACAATCTCTGAGAAGCTGGTGTTCTTCGAACTCATTTTTGACAGCCTGCAGGATGACGAGGAGGTCGAGGGCTGGGCAGAGGCTGTGGAGCCTGAGGAGATGCTGGATGTCAAGATGGAGGACATCAAGGTGCGCCCAGGCTGAGCCAGGGCCACTTGTCCCAGATCTCTGGCTTTGGGCAACAGTGCTTCCCTATTCTTCCACCTTGCCTGGGGTCTGCATCTGCCTGACCCAGCGCCCCTGGCATCCCCACCTTAATTAGAATAGTAGTCACTCACAGTTAAAATAATGCGCATTTCTAGGTGTAGGAGTTTCAAGGGCTTAAATAACTAATGAAATCTCCATATGAGGTAGGGAATGTGTTCCCAATGCCCCATTTAAACTGAGGCACAGGATGGCTAAGTAACTTTCCTAAGGCCACATAGCAACTGGCAGATCCAATATTTGAACCCAGGCAGTCTGGCTTTAGCAACTGTGCTGTTAACCATAGTAAGTACATTCTTTTAAAATTTTTTTTGTTTGTTTATTTATTTATTCATGAGAGTCAGAGAGAGAGATAGAGAGAGGCAGCGGCAGAGGGAGAAGCAGGCTCCCCGCCTAACAGGGAGCCCGATGCGGGACTCGATCCCAGGACCCTGGGATCGTGACTTGAGCCGAAGGCAGACGCTTAACCATCTGAGCCACCCAGGCGCCCCACTAGTAAGTACATTCTTTATACTTATTTAGGCACTCAATTTTCACCTCAGTTCGGAGGAAACTGAGGCCCAGAGAGGTTAATTAACTTGCTGAAGGTCACCCAGCTAGTCAGCACAGAGAGAGGATTCAGACTCAGGCAGCCTGGCCACAAAGTCTCCTCTCAGCTCTCTCCTCCCAAAACAGGCTCACCCCATCCCCCATTTTATTGGCCCTTGCTCCCCCAAGGGCGGAGACCTGACCCTGCCCCTCTCTCTGCTCCACAGGAGTCCATCGAGACCATGAAGACCCGGTTGGAACGTAGCATCCAGATGCTGACGCTCCTGCGGGCCTTTGAGGCACGTGACCGCAACCTGCAGGAGGGCAACCTGGAGCGGGTCAACTTCTGGTCTGCGGTGAACATGGCCGTGCTTCTGCTGGTCGCTGTGCTCCAGGTCTGCACGCTCAAGCGCTTTTTCCAGGACAAGCGCCCTGTGCCCACTTAGCCCCAGAAGGAAGACAGGGAAAGGAGGGGCAGCAGGGCACATGTGTGTGAGATCTGGGGGTCCTTTCCCCAAACTTAGTTTCCTATGGGAGGGGAGGCCACGCAGTCATGGCCCTGAGGTCCTCGTGTATCTCCTCCCTGCCAGGGTCCAGGCTGGAAACCCTTGTTGGCTTGGCTGACAGGCCTGGGCCCTCCAGGAGGGATAGCTCAGTGGCTGCACCTGCTTTCCTGGAAATTGTGCATGGACGGGGAGGGCACTGCAGCATTTGCATGTGACCCTTGGATATTCTGGCCCCTTGCCGTGTCCCCTCCGGTAAATGTGTGTGCCTTAGCCTGAGTCCCAGCCTGCACAGGCACTGCTTGGTGTGGGATGGGGCCCAGGAAGCAAACTCTCCCTTCCCTTCCCTCTGGCCTTCTGAGCCAGGGTACCGTGGGAGGGGGCTTGCTGCTTGTGGGACCCCATGCCTTCCTTTGTCTCCCTGTCACCCCACCAGAGGCCTGTTGCTGCTGCTGGGGGCGGCTCCCAGGCTGGGGGCGGCCTGCTTATGCCAGGGGCCGGGAAGGAGACACGGCTGCAGTGTTCTTGCCAGGACAGTCACTTTATTGAGAGGAAGGAGCCCAGCCCCTCAGCCCAGCGCGGGGTGGGCTCTGTGTGAGGTCTGGTAACAGAACTCTAGGAGTGGGGGGCTGCATGACCACCCGCCCCTCCTGCTCTCTCTGCAGAGGCCCCGGGCAGGGCTGAGGGGTGGCCCAGCCAAAGCTTGCGCAGGAGCCTCACGGAACAAAGGGCGGTCTGGCCTGGGCACTGGAGTCAATAAATTATGGTCAGAAAATCACAGAGCCTGGTGACTGGGGCTCAGGGACACCAGCTGGGACAGACCTGCCCCCAAGGGGGCAAACCAGGCAGGCGGGAGGGGTCTCCCACGAAGCTCAGAAGAAAGGCCGGGCGGGAGCCGATGGAGGTGGTCGCCTGGGCACAAGAGAAAAATCAGAAAGCAAAGTTTAACTGTGACCCGGGCTGGGCCAGAAGGCCTTGGACCTGGGCGGAGTCCTTAGGACTGCAGTGGTGGGGAGGGGGGCCCTGACCACGGCAGTGTGGGGTGGAGGGCCGGGGCTCCCTCTCCCCTGTGTGATTCTGCTGCCCACCCCAGGCCTGTGTCAGGGGCTACAGCCAGGCCCCTGGGTTAGTATGTGTGGAGGGGGAGTGCCGAACATTTGTCCCCACTCCTGATGTGTTAAGGAAAGCAAGAGATTTTCCCTCTAGAGCATGGTTGCCTCTGGAAGAAGTGCTCTCCCCAAGAGCAGAGTCCCAGGAGTGAGGTGTGAGCGTGCCCATGGTAGGAGGGGAGGTGGGGTCTTTGTCGGAGGCCTGCCGGGGGAAGGCGAGCAGTCCACATGCTCAGCCTGAACGCCAACACAAAAGGCCCACACAGCAGCCACCAGAAGCTTCTTCCCTTTATTTTAGTTTATTAATAGGATACAGAGTGCAGGCACTTACAGTGGTCAAACCGAGCGAGGAGCGAGCAGGGTCTGCTCGGCGATGGGCCACTTGGGGCCCACCCCGTCGGGGAGGCCTGGGCGGGAGCCAGGAGCCCCTCACAGCCTCCCCACTCACTCAGCCCTGAGCCCGAGGCACCCTGGGGACCTAGGAGGAGGAGGGGACCCAGGAAGGAGAGAGCGAGGCCGGGAGGACGGAGGCTTCCGGACCCGGCGAAGGCACCTCCGGCAGCCGAGGCTCGGCCGTGTGGTTAATACGGCCAAGGAAGGAATATTTACAACTTGCAGGGTGGGCAGCGTGGGGCCTGCTGGGCCTGGCTCACTGCCTGGAGCTCCCGCTGCTGAGAAGTGGACATGCTCCTCGGGCCCCAGGAAGGGCTGGGGGGTACAGGCACTCTTGCTGCCCCAGTTTCCAGAAGGCCTGGTCTCAGGCTTTCCTGGCCAGAGAAGCCCTGGGTTGAGTCCCCCCGGCCCCAGCCTGAATCCTCATTCGAGAGGGCGCCCAGGGTGCATTCCCTCCTCAGCTACCCTGTGGCTCCATCCCCCAAAGTGCAACACCCCAGCTCCCGCCCTTGCCCCAGGGCTCCAGGGCCCCTTCGTTCAGTGCTGTGTCCAGCTGGGGATGGGGGCCAAGGTTAGGGAAGAGTCAGGGGGCTGCCCACAGGGAGCCTGGTCCTGGCACGTGGATGACAGGGCCAGGGGCAGTGGAGGGGCCCCCAGACCACCGAAGCTCCTGCACGGCGGGTGTGCGAAGACCCCCTGAGAACACGCCACCCCGGCGGCCTAGTCGAGCAGGGATGGCTCGGCTGGGCGGATAATGGTGGGCCGGCTGGGCGCAGCAGGGGGTCTTCTGCTGCAAAGAGAATAAAGACAGACGGGGAGGGGGAGGGGGAGATGGCAGTGAGGCCCTAAGTAGGACGAGGGAGGGGACCCAGGCCCCACCGCCCCCGCCCCAGGGTGCTGCCTGATGCCCCAAAAGCTGCTAGAGTGCCACGGAGGAGCTGGAGCTGTGTGGCCCCGGCTGAGTCCCCGCCCAGCCTGGCCCCTGGGTTTCTCACGGGAGAAGTGTGGCGAACGGAGCCTGGCCTGCAGGGCGGGGTGAGGAAGGGCAGGGGTGTGCGACGGCTCACGCGTATGTCCTCAGTAAGGAAACAAAGGTCAAAACTAGGAGAAGGGGCCCCACGTGAGGAGTCCCAATCTGTGTGGTGGGCCACCCGCTCAGGCAGAGGCCAGGCCTGGGAGCCCCGGTGTCACCCTGACTCTCCACCGCTCTGTGACTTTGGGCAAGCAAGTTGGCCTCTCTGGGCTTCAGTTTTCACACCAGTCACATGCGGATGAAGACTCCATTCCCCGCAGGGCGTGGGCAGTGAGGGGGCCGTCCAGCCTTACCTGGGCACTCCAGGGGGGATGCCGGGTGGAATCCGAGCCGGCCGAGATGGAACCTGAGGCGGGGCCGAGAAGGGGTCATTGTTGGCAAACACGCTCTGGGGTCCAGGCCTGGACGGGATGGGGGGCGCGGCGAAGGAGGCTGCTGCCCCCACTGGCACGGGAATCAGAGGGGGCCCTGGGGTCGGGCCTCTCACTGCTGGTGGCCGGCCCGGGGGATGCGCGCTGGACATGGGTCGGCGCTGTGGAGTGGGGCTGTGGAGGAAGGAGAGAGTGTGAGCCGGAGAAGGGGGTGGGGAGCACCAGCCTTGCCGGGGTGCCTGTGGAAACCCGAGGGGGCCGGGATGTGGCGCTGGCTGGGGCCCCTCCATCCACCCCGCCCCCACCTGCTTAGCAGTGGCTGTGCCCCCACCTAAAACCTGTGCCAGGGTCTCCCTGTGCCTCTGGCTCAGCCACCAGGGGCTCCTGCTTCCCTCTGACGTCACGCCCAGGGCCACTTCCCTCTCACCAGCCCTGCCAGGGCCTGCCAGCTTCCCTGCCTCTTCCAGTCCACGCTTATTCGAACCCCTGCCCTGGGCACCCCACAGGCTGCCCCCCGGGCCGGAGCACCCACTGTTCCCTCTCCCTAAGTAACTTCATGGCTCCTTGAGGCCTCAGCAGGGCCGGCACCTTCTAGGAGATTCCCCTGACCCACCCTCTGTCCTCCCGCCGCCTGCCCTGTCACTGGTCGGGTGTCCCTGCCTGAGGCTCTGCGTTGCCCCTGCCGGCGTCTCATTTCCATCCGCCAGCTCTGAGGTGGTTGGGGGGGCCGGGGACAGGCCAGTCATGCCCTCCAGCTGCTGCTGCAGACCCTCCCCAACCTGCCATTCTCGTCTGCGCTCTGTGCTCCAGGACGATGACCCCATGGCCCCCGCTGCCCTGGCCTCTTGCCCTCTCTGGCTTCCGCTTGGGCTTCACCAATGGAAAACACCAGGAGTCAGATGGGCCCTCCACCCAACGCTTCTCTCTCCTTGTCGCTTCAGGCCCAGGCCGGGGAGCAGCGACCACTGTGGCTCAGGCCCCTTCACCCCACCCGCCCCGGGGCCGGGCCCTAATGGGACACATGGGGGGACCGGCGGGCAGCAGCCTCCGCAGGCTACAGGGGCCCAGGCCTCTCGGACCTGTGGCTGCCAGTGCTCTGGAGCCAGGTGTCATCGACGGGCGGGGGCACGGGCGTGGACACGGTGCTGGTGCTGATGTCCCCGATGATGTTGAGGGCCTCCTTGAGCGCATGGTACATGCGCAGCATGTCGTCCCGCCGCTGGGCCTGGTCGGCCGACTCCTCCATGAGGCTGCTCTGGTCCGCCGAGGAGTACAGGTAGGCCAGCAGCTCATGGTGGATGAAGGCCTTTGTCTGGGGGGCAAGGGGCAGAGAGGTCAGGGCGTCCCCCCACACCTGCCGTTACGACAGGCTGCAGAAGCATCCGCCACACTGGGTGGGCTGTCTGGTCTTTTTTTTTTTTTTTTAAGATTTTATTTATTTATTTAATTAACACAGAGAGAGAGAGAGACAGCGAGAGAGGGAACACA